CCAGGCCTCGAGTGCCGGTGTCCTGCAGGTTTTAGATGTGTCCTTGATTCAACACAGCTGATTCAAATGGCTAAATTACCTCCTCAACATGTCTTGAAGTTCTCCAGGGGGCTGGTAATGAACTAATCATTTGATTCAGGTGTGTTGAACCAGGGTGAGCTTTAAAACGACCAGGGGTAGGCACTCGAGGCCTGGCGTTGCCTACCCCTGGTCTAGATTCACTTTTGCATCTAATTTATTGTCCAGTACACATCACAGTTTGACTAGTATTGGCAGGGATAGCTCAGTAGGTAGAGTGGTTGCCCCACGATAGGAAGCTTGTGGGTTCGACCCCACTGAACACCTACCCTGAGGTACCCCTGAGCAAGGTACCGTCCCTACACACTGCTCCCTGGGTGGCTGCCCACTGCTTCACTTAAATGCAGAGGAGTAATTTCCCTACGGGGACTAACACATACACATTATTATTATTATTATTTGTATATTTTAACAACAAAGCCAAATGGAGTAAAGTCTTCCTGATTTGTCACAAACCTAGACTTACGATTTTACCCTCGTTTAGACCTCTTAAGGATACTTGTATTTTTGCAGAACTTGGAGGCATAGTGTTGTCTTACTTTGCACCTTGGTCACAGAGTAACCTTCATAACAACAAGAACTAAATGTTAATGTTTTTGTTTTGCTGGTGGGTTTAAAGAACTTATAAATGATTCTGTAACTGAAGAGTGCAACTGTTGCTCCAGAGGTGGATTTTAGATTATGTGTTGCTGTCTGTTTATGGAAAATGCAGCTTTATCATTTTTGCAGGCTTTTGTTTCCTTGGTTATGCTTCCCTTGAAAAAAGAAAAGAGATATTAATCTCAAGGGACTTTCTGGTTAAATTAAAAATAAAAAAAGCAAGGCTTAAATACACACAGTCAGTGTTTAAGCCTGTTCAGTAGATTGTATGAATTTTTTGCATTTTTTTTTTTTTTAAATTTCTAGTCCACTAGTTTTCTCCAACTAGGAAATTTCTGATTTCCTTAATTTTAATTTCATACATTTAGTGCATGAACCATGGAAGAACACTTTGCATGTAGGTAACATGTTTTTGATGTGTATCAGGTGTGTCCAGACAGCAACATTGTGATGATCAACATTGGTCTGCTGTTACTAGCATTCTCCAACTCTGACGAGGAGCACTGCAGGTACTTCGCTTGCTCTTTTACCCTAAAGCACCTCGACCCTCACCTGTTTGACCCGCCTTGGATTTTTGACCCGGTGGCTCTTATTGTTTTCAGGCCAAACACATACCATTCCAACCTGCAGGTTAGCTGGGACCTCAACACGGGTGTATGTCGCACTGTGGGTGTTGGCGACCTCACAGAAGTCAAGGGTCAGACAAGGTGAGCCCTGCAAGCCTGTACCACACACACAGGTTCTCTCTGCCTCCTGTTTCTCGTTAGTTCAGTTGTATTGAAAGGTTTTGTCTGTCCGTCAGCGGGACCGTCTGGAGTTCGTACAGGAAGTCCTGTGTGAACACGGTGATGAAGTGGCTTGTCCCCGAGAGCAGCTCCCGTTACATCAACCGCATGACCAATGAAGCTCTCCACAAGGGTGAGTATATAGACACAGAAACAGATGAACATAAATCCTCCCAAATAAATCTGTCAAAAATAAAAACTGCCAAATGTTAAGTCCTTTTTGGAGAAATGAGACCTTAGTGAGCTGTAAGATAGAAGATCAGAATAAACAAGAGCGCCTTTGACTTTCTAGTCCCAAAAAAATACTGCACTTTCTTTCTGTGTTTAGGACCAAACATTTGACAGCAATAGGCTTTCTGTGCCCCCTGTTTAGAGACCAAAAGCACATCAAAAACATTAAAAGATGAGACTTCTCAGATGTTAAGGACCTGTGTATTTGGACTAATGTTTCTGACTGATTGAAAAGATGAATTGATTGCTTTGTTTTTTAAGTATATGGGATGAGTTTTTATGTTACCAATGATGAAATCACATTCCACCTCATCTATTAAATTACTAAGCTTAATACTAGAAGTCAACTGAGAAAAAAGTAAAGACTGATCCCCTGCGCAGCTTTAATCCAAACTCATGTTTCTTCCTTATACTGAAAAGGAAATAGAGATCTTCCTTAACCCTCTCAGGCTCAAATTAAACTTTTTGTTGCTAATGCACAACCAAGTCCTGCAGTGGTACTTCTGAGTAAAAAAAACTCATAAAATATGTATGTGGGGTAATCAGGTTGTTAGTTTTTAACTGTTGCAAATCTGCAACGCCTGCCTCCAGAGGGTTAAAAACGTCTTTTTTTAAAAAAAATTTTTTTTTTTAGTTTTCATCTTTTGTATCAATAAAAGAAAAAGAGAGAGAGAGAGAGAGTTAAGTCCCGCTCTTTTCTCACCTGCAGGCTCATCTCTGCAAGTGTTGGCAGATAGTGACCGGTGTACCTGGATTGTATTGTGAAGGAAGAAGCGATCCACATGTGTCCAAACAACATAAAGAAAAGTACACGTTGACATGAGCTCACCTGCAGTATCGACCTTAATCGGAGGTTCCGTTTGTAGCATGTGTTGCTAAAGCCGAACAAAGAACCAGATGAAGTACTGTAAAGGTTTTTGTGTGTTTTTTGCAATTGTGTACTGAATTGTTGTAACAACCAAAACCAAGAGCTGGACTGAACAAAGACTTCATTTTTACTTTTGTTTTTATACATTAAGGCAGTTTTATTGTCAGTGAGTGTGAGTAACTGAATGTATGTGATATCTGTACAAGGTGGGTGTATGAGAAATTTAACAGATTTTGCTGCTTCTGAACTCATTTCTCATCCAGTGTGGACCAGCTCTGTCCAGCTGTGTGTAAGGCTGCAGTATTTGAAATTTGAAAAACTCTACTGCTTCACTTGATTTCTGTTTTTGTTTTTTTAAAACCCTCGTCAGTGGAACCAGGAGTCACCTGCTTAGCTGGCTGCTGTCGTGCTGTATGAGTGACAGCATGGAATACAGACTGTATTCTGCTGGGATCTTTTGTTTAAATAAAATGTTCAAAAGCGTTATGAGTGTGCTGTGATGATAACTGGATACATGAAAATAATCCAACAGTCTGCAGAGAAGATCTTGCCTGGAGGGGAAATAATTACCACAAAAGTTGTCATGTGACTTCAGCTGAATCAGTGCTTGTTCCCTAACTAGAACCATTTATATACAAAACAGAACAGGCCCAACATTGGAACAGACCACACTGTCTAGTACTAAAGTTACATTAAAAGACGCAAAGAGCTGGTTTCGCTCAAGGAAAACATGCACAGAGAAGAGGTAAAAGTACTCCACATGTTTAACCGATTAACATACAAATAAAACACAAACGTGTTTTGTTTTTCTTTAAACGTCGTACAGTCTTGTCAACTTGTGAGATCTGCATGATCCATAAAGCAACTGAGTTTTGGGTCTGTTAGGGTAGTACTGGGTATTTGCAGTGAGGCTAAAAAGGTTCCATGAGCTCCTAACCGTCAGAATTTTTATTCTTTGTTACATTTTCAGTTTGGTCGTCTGAAGCCTAAAGACCTTTTGGACTATTTATCAGATTTTGTTCATCTCCTTCTACAGTCATAAAACATCTGTATAATTTGACATTTATACTTTTTATTTTTTAAGTTTCACTAGTTGAATGTATTAATAGAACAATTTTGTAGACTAATCAATTTTAATACTACAATGTCCCAAATAATTTATAATTTAAGTACAGAGAAACTTAAATTTAGGTTTACCTTTTACTGTTCATTAAATGGTCCCTGATCTGTCTTTTAGCTGAAGTAGACCCCCGGGCTATCCATCAGGTCTGACTTGTACAACCTGAGCATTAATTTGTATAAGAACCAAAGAATGAATGAGGGACACGATCAGTTCTGCAAACTCCCACCAAACCAAACCTGAATCTGAGGTTTAACTAATGGATGAACTCCCATCCTCCGTGGCATAAACTTTCCCAGCCAAGTTGAGGATCATGATCCCCCTGAAATGGCTATATGATCAAAGGTCTGCTGCCTTAGTTTGCCAATCCAGAGGAACTGCCCCTGACAGCCGATGTTGCGAGGGGCGTCAGTGGCAACAGCCCCACAACATCTAGAGCAGGTCTTCTCTGAGCCCTCAGGTTCTCTTTTCCTGAGTCTCCGTCAGGTTTAAATAAGTCAAAGAAAAAAATATTATGAAAACAAAGGTGGTCATTTTTTGGGACAATTCCATTACAGCCTTTGTTTCATTTTGAGGACTCCCAAACCAAACTGCCCATCCCCAAACCAACCTCCAGTTGGAAAATGTGGTTAAGAAAGAAATTCCAAGAACAACACAGGGAATGAAGGAAAAACAGTCTGGCACAAGTTTTGATAGCAATCACATCTCTTTAGTTATAACAGTGAGAATAAAGCTACAAACATTGATCACAGGTTTAAGTACAAAGGTCTTCAGAATAACAGCAAGAACCTCGTTCAGAAATGGTTCTGCAGCACAAGCAAGGGACAGAATCCACGGCACAGTTTGTATGACATCGCAGTTGGCGGTTAATTTTAATTCGAGTCAGATTTTTGTAGCCTGCTCTCACATATATATTTATATATAAATGTAAACATACTTTTTTTTTTCTCCTTTGTTATGTTCTTTGGTGACATCTTTGTAATCAGGTGGTCCTGAGGGACATCCCACTACCATTATAATATTTTTATTTCTTTTCCCCTCAGTCCCACAGTCACACATTGCTGCTGGTTGAGCGTGTGCTCTTTGAGGGGGTTAATCTTAAGTCACCATACTCACATGCTTGGTCCATCATCACAATAAAAATATAGCTCAAGACTCTGGCTGGTGGACATACCACGACATACTTATTAAGGCAATAATGGTTAAACAACATACGAATATTTTGGATATATTACGGCGTTCACAAAAAGGTACATAATATAAGTTATCTACAAACGTCCAGCATACACACTTTCTGAAAATAAACATCTACTCTTACACTACAAAAACTTTGAGATAGCTGGTACATCTAGCTGGTACAAAGATTGCAAAATATGTGGAGCTGATCAGGTGGGAAAAGCTGGGGGGGGGTTGCACTCGAGTCATCTGGATGTTTATGTGTGAAAGAAAGATGTTGATGATGAAAGAAAGGATGGATGAAGCAAAACAAACCAGGCAGAATCATCACAAAACTAGACGATCAATTTTTTTTTTCTTTTAACAGCTACAAAAAGTTCATGACAACACCACGACTACTTCACAGGACCTTCATTTATTGAACCACCGATACAGAATATATAGAGCACAACCTTTTTTTGTTAAGCCTAGAAATCTCTCAAAAGGCACAGCGTATCAGTTAGTTGGCCAAATGAATAAGGAGTCACATTTATAAAGCCAAATACCTTTCACTCAACGTCCATGTGCCAACAAAAATTCATGATGCAGTATCATTCTAGATGCTACTCTTAAACAAATATATTTTTCAGACAATATCATTCATTCAAGTCCAGCTCCCCTGCATAGTCATTGTGTTAAAGGTAATTAAAGTGATATTTGAGTTTAGAGGACAATGAATCTCTCCACAGCAATCAGGTCAGTGGTTAAGGCGGGATGGGAGGGAATCAAGAATATGCGTATATATAATTCAGGCTGGGCAGGAGCAGCCACTGAAAAGGCAGGGAAGGCACAGGGAACGAGGGGGGGACTGTGAAATGATAAAGTGAAGGTAAACATAAAGGCTGCAGCACAAACAGTACAGCAGAGAAAATTTGGCAAAAGGCCCTCCCACTTTCTCACCACAGACGACCAAACATGCAAACCAGAAGCTCACATGGTGCGACAGAACGAGATGACATGATTTGAAACTTAAAGCAAAGGCATGTGTCAAGCATTGTGCTAACCGTACAGGTGATTAGCTAAGGTGGTGTGCTGTCGGTCTCATTGAGCGTGTGCAGGCTTAAGTTTGTCCTGGGCTGTTTGACTGGCGGCTCCATCACCTCCTTCTCATCATCAACCGCGCTCAGAGAGCTGGACTGCAGCACCAAATCTCCAGTGTCCTCCTCACTATATTCATCGTCATCCTCCTCCTCTTCTTCTGAGACATGAAAGACAATAAGTAAATACCACGGTGCCATGCTGAGTGTTGGCCTGTTGCAGCAGCTACTGTGCACTTTTGTTTTGTTTTTTGTTTGAATCTCTAATGCATACATATTTCATTTGTCTTCTCTTTGTCTCACCATCTTTTTCTTTTCTCCCCCTAAACATGAGTTCTTCCTCCCCACCATCTCTATGTAATAGCGCCTCAAGCTGATTTTATTTTGATTAAAATTGGATCAAACCACCAAATTTAAAAATCTGTAGAAAAAACAAAACAAAAAAACCCCTTTATATTACCCACAGTTTCTTATGGATGATCTTCAAACTTCACAACAATATACTAAACATTACATACTAAAGTATACCATTTTAGTATGTAAGGTCAAAGGTCAGGGTAACACAAATAAGGCAAAAGTTCAGCACTTTCGTTGCTTTAACTTAAAACATGATTTCATGACTTCACAATGATGCAAAATATACTTTGCTCCATTTCCATATTAACAATACTGATATCACCATAAATGACCTGTAAAAACCGCTGATGTCATCATATTGTAATAAAAACTTCTCCTCAGTGGGGACCTTGTTATTGTTTGCATTTAAAAAAAGAAAAAGGTGTAAATCTGTAAATCTCAATCTGTAACGCAAAGAGTTTCATAAAAGATGGACGAGTGTCTGAAAAGTTAAGTCAATGCAGAAGTGCATTAATTCAGCATTCTTTGTAATGGCCAGCAGGGGGCAACTGCTGTGGTTACAAAGTAGCAAAGCGGCTAAGGCTGAGGCTGGTGCTTATGAGGAATCCTAATAAAAGAGTATTTAAGGAAAACCATCCTCATTTACCTTTTTCAATTTCTTGAGAGGTCCGGCTCTTGACAGTACTGGCAAACTGTGTCCATGGCAAAGAAAGCACATTTATAAATGTTTGTGAAGGTTCTCATTTATAGACATATTTATAAACTTAATTCAAAAGTGGAATACAAGTATGAGTGTGTGTTCAGGTACATACTTCTGCCATGACTGCTATGGGAGTTTCTCCTCTAGCCTGAGCCACTCTGTGCTCGATTAGGTAGTACATGTACTCATCATACAGCAAGCGGATCAGATGAAAGGACCCAAAACTTGCAGCACTGCGCAGAGTCAAGTCCCGGATTACCATAGAACTGGTGAAGAAAAGAAAAGATTCAGAAAATGTTTCTTTAACATAAAACTGCATCTTTACAAAGCCCATTTTCCCGCATTTCCCCTCACCTGTAGAAAGACCAGTTGAGCAGGAAAACCTTTGCAGCCTTTGGCAGGGCCATAGGGTTGTGCTCATAGGGCTTTAGGACCTGGGACACAACACTATCTAGCCAGGTAGCCCACTGTTCCAGAGAGTTCTGCTGCTGCAGAGTCGCTTTAAAGTCTTGCTCCAGCCTCTGGATCAAACGGTCTTCACACTGACAAACCCAGGATGCCTGTTCCTGAGGGGGACGCAGGCAAGCACAGTGAGCAATCTGCTGTTTTATTTAAAAAAACACTGATGTACAGCAGCAGGTAAGCGCAGGAGACACAGACGGCAGTACTGGCAGACCTGTACGTTATTGAAATCAACCCGATTGAGGTCAGAGAGCATCTGGTTGATCTGAGCTGAGTTCTGGAGGACGGCCCGGGCAGCCTGAGCCAGGTGGTTCAGACTGGTGTAACGACGCAGCGTCTGGGAGAAAGAGCCAATGCACACCACCTGAAAGTAAAAGCGAGGAGAAATAAAGTACCATTGTCAAAAAGAGCCATAAAGAGGACAAGTCACATTTTTCCATCACAATATGGCAGCACTAAAAACCACCAAGTCAGAAAATACATCACAAATCCCACTTATCAGCTTACATTTGGTGATGTAAGGTGAGCTAAGTGCTAAGGGATGCACCCGTGTATTAAAGAAAAAGCTCTAAATTAAAACACGGATACAGAGCTCAGTGTAAAAAAAATAAATAAATACCTTTATGCGAACCATCTCCTCTGGGATGTTCATCATGGCACCTGTCAACCAGTTTTCCAGACTTTTGGCAAAGTTGCGGATGGCCTGAGTTAAGGCACCTGATGGCGGTGATGCAGAGGAAAGATGCAATTTACAGGGATATACAAAAACACAGGAACACTTCTCTCCATTTTAAATGAGCCGCAGTGTATAATTCTTACATACAGTATACATCACTAAAACAGTACTGAAACGTATTCAGGTGGGTTTCGCAGAAAATTAAAACGTTTATACATGACATTATTAACTTACTTGGAATGGGTCTCAGTACATCAGGGATGAGGATCTCCACCAGAGTCTGGTACAGCAGGTTGTCGCACTCTCTCGTCCAGCGTAGCACTGGCTCAAACTTACACAGCACCACCAGGCACGATTTGGGCAGTCGCTTCTCAGACTCGTTGTGTCTGGGTGGGCATGTGAAACAGCTGATCAGCTTCAGTTTCAGCAGGGGATGCTTGGGTGCACACTTTTGAGTGTGTTTGCAATACTTACAGGTTGAGCGTTTCTGCATCATTGCTCTGGCTAAACCTCCAGAATGATTTCCACAAGGTCTCAACAAGAGTGAACTGAAGGTTGACCATCACATCCAGAATAGCCTGCGAGGATCACACTTAGCATCACAGAGGTGTTCATGGGACCTGTATGTATAACACTGCACAGCTGGATGCTTGTATTTATGTTAAAAATTTCAAGTAATAGGCTCAGCGAGTGAAACCCGATGCTAATTTACACAGGATAGAAAATTAGAAGAAACTGGGCTGGATAAACTTAGGGGTTGCATCAATGTCCAACATAAAATAAAGATTATTTTGAACTGTGTGAATCATCCAAAACTACTTTGTGAATGAGCACAACTTCACTTCAGTGTTTCTGTTTGCATTTCTTCGGAAGCTGATGTTACTGTGCTTTACAACAACTACAAGAACCTTGCTTTTTTCAATGACAAAATGAAATGGCAAGAGAAATAAGTACACACACATGGAAAGCATGTCTATTATATTCAGTCTCCATGTCATTTCTTTTGTCTAAGCTGCATACCTCACAGTGTTCTCTGTACAGAGTCTGAAAGGCCTTGAGGTGCTCTAAAAGGATCCCATCGGGCAGGGTTCGATCTTGAAGATCAATTTCCACAAAGTCTGGCAATTGCTTTGATGCCTCTGCACATGATAATGCACAGGAAACAGGAACCACGGAGAGTTGATTCAGTATCATTTGAAATAAAATCATATCCATCCATTTTTTAAACTGCTTATTCAATATACTAAAAAAAGAAACAATGATGAACAATGTGCAGGTGTTCCTCACCTAGGAACTGCTGGTACTGTTGCACCTGGGCCGAAATGTCACAAAGTGTCGAGCCCTGCTGTTGACCTATCCCGCCTACTGTGCCGTTGGTGATCCCCTGTGACTTCTGAACTGGCTTTACCCTATTTGTCACATCATTCACACAGAAACAGAGCCAGAGTTAATGAATATATGAATATATGTGTGCATTGTTGTATTTTTACATATTTTTGTTTGAGTGGATCTTTTCACACAAGGTGTTCAGTTTTGACAAAATAACGTAAAACCCGACAGGAGGACCGGTTGTGGATAAGAACGAAATGTCATCCATGCATAGAATGAAATCATAAACCACAGGAGGAATATTTTTCAGCAATGATGTACTCTACTAGTATTTCATACTATATTTAGAAGCTCAGTACCTGTAATGGCTCAAGGACAAGTTTTAGAGTGCATGGGTGGCTACCTGTTTTTCTGTGAGAAAGGCTGCTGCCTCATCGCCATGTGCTGTTGTTCATCCATCAGTCTGAGCAGAGGTGACCCGGATTTGATCCTCAGACCATAGTAGTGGTACTTAGAGTTCCCTCTGAAACATACACAGGAAAAAGTTATGATAAACCCTTGAGAGACTGGTCTTGCACAGTTCGTGTATGTGTGTCTGTATGCGTGTTTTTCTGTACCTGGTTCCTAATCTCCGTGTACGCAGCCCCATGAAGACAGACCTGATGAGTTTTCCAAAAGATGCAGCATTAACAGGTTCTAGTTTCTGTTCCTGGCAGTGAAGCAGGTAGTGGTAGTAGAGGGTGCAGCGAGGTAAACTCACCCCCTCAGCCCCCTCGTAATTATCACAGAGCCACTGCACCTGGGGAAAAAGGACGTCACAGTATTTGAACCTTTGGGTGGTAGGCTGTCACGGATCATAGATGTGCTTCACTTTCAACTTTTCGACTCACGGTAGCAGGTGGGGCACGAGAGTTGGGGCTGGAGTAACTCTGTCCTCCTCCTCCTCCACCTGCTGTTGGAGTTCCTCCTGCTCCTAAGACATAACCTCCTTGAATAATGTAACCACCTCCACCTGCAGCAGCTGCTGTGCTGCTGGCTCCTGCTGTTGCCACAGAAACTGGCTGTGAAGTCACAGATCCAGTGATGTCTGACTCAGAGCTGGGCGTGGCCTCGTAAAAGGTGGAGGCGGACGTAGGAGGTGTCTGGGAATACAGGGGCGACTCGGAGAAGGGGTAATTGTTCGGTCGACTGGACAAGAAAAGACACAGACAATGAAATATATCAATGGCTCTGTGACGAGCAAAGTTTCAGAGTGTGTGTAACTGAACGTGTGAGCATAGAGCAAACAGACAGACAGATCAGGTGCTTTACTACTTACATGGTGGGTGTGGTGAAAGTTGCATCTCCTGCTCCATCCACATATTGGATCTGGCCAGAGTACACATGCTCTACCTGAAAAATTAGCAAAAAGGAGATTAACACAATTAAAGGGTTGCAAGAACTGAACGAAGTCCTCCTTTAGCATAGAATATATTGGACCATCCTCCTAAAGGAAAGGAGATGGCACCCCACATCTCACAATTTAAAGTGTCATACTAACAGACTGTGCTCAACATGACTAACAGTTGCATTTTCCACCTAATGACATAACTCAGCAACATGCAGATATGTTTTGAATGTCCCACTTTATTAAAATCTGCTCCTTATGATGGTGTTGCATGAACAACTGTGAAAAGCACTCTATAACTAAAGATAACTAATGTAATTAAAGTGTAATTGAAGTGAAGGGTGCAGTGAAACTTAGCGTGCATCAGTTATGCTCTCGATAATTATTCGTATTTTACTTATTAAAGCAGATAGTAAATATTGTAATGAGGGAAAGACAAATCGACTCTTTAACCAGAACATAAAATATGTGTGGGCACAGTGTGAACAAGACTGCTAAACCTTTTGATTTCACATTTGTGACTGAAAAGCTATATTCTATTTTTTTTTTTTAATTCTAAGGAGTTACTATACAAGATGCACTTGTTATAGTACATTTCAACTCAATGAAATGCAAGCTTAATACATGCTATGCTGGTGTGACTACTAGGTAAAAAGCTGCAAAACTGTTCTCTTTCTACACATCCACTTGGCATGAAGTTATCTTTCTGGCAATTTCAAATTGGTTGCAAAAATATTCCTTAAAACATTTATACAAAAGCAATGTCTTAATCTTCATCAGGCATTATGAAGAAGACAAGCAGAGCACGCATTCGTTCACCAAGTTCAATATTTGATTTGCTTTCATCGAGTCCTGAAAAGTAACTGTCTCTTTGACTGCCCACGAGGTTCTCCCGGTCTTCAGTAATATCATACTGTGCACTCAACATGTTGATTACACATTAATTAAACCCAATTTGTTAACTTAATTGTATGATAGCAGGCTATTAAGGATTACAACTAATGAAACAAAACTGGCAGCGGTGTGCTGTTGCAGATCAATGTACGTGGTGTGGCATGACTGACATGCTGATGAAGTGATGAGAGGAATTATCTTCCTTACCTCTGGGGTTATATGCACAGACTGTAGATTGTTGACGTGGCCTGTCTGATTCCTCTTGGCTGCCTGAGACACGGCTTGCAACACTGACCTCTGTTGATGTATAAAGCCAGAGCGTCAGATTGAAAGTTGAAAATTTCTTGTAGTGTTTCGTGAATGTCATTCCAGTAAGTCCTGATCAAAGAGCAGTCCCACAGTATGTGTGGTGTGCTCGTTGGTGTCCACATTGTCTCCAACATACAAGGGGATTCCCATCATAATGAATATATGTGTGCATCTTACCTGTGGGGTGGTCTGCACTGATTGGACCACCTGAGTAGGTACACCAGGGGCGGGCGGGCTGGAGTCTGACAAACTGTCACTGGAGGGCACAGAGTCATCTGTGGATGAAACACAAAAGGTAAAGGAGAAAGGTTTCATTTGACGATCAGGCACATTTAACTGAAAACCCATCCACCATCGCTTCAAGCAAAGCACTCACGACAGACTGGTTCCAAATCGTAATAACAGCCACCACAGAACATCTCGCAATCAAGTTTCTTTTTTTGCTCTACTGAGGAAAGATGGACAGTGAGGAGGAGGAGAAGTGTGTCTGTCCAATTCTCATTTCATCCTTATATCTTGTATGCAGAAGGGACAGCCTTGGACAGCTAATCTCCCCAGATGGAGAGAGAAATCCCTCCATCTTGTAAACATGGAGATCAGATGAGAGGGGAAAAAAGAGAGATACGTGTGGGTTGACAACAGCGGGAGAAAATAGAGAACGGAGGTTGGGTGGAGGAGAGGGCAATATTCACTTGTTTTTATTTTTCGGGTGAGAAAACGTTTTACTTTAACCACCTGTACTGTTACTCCTGTTGTGATGCTCTTACATTTATACAAGATTTGTCAATCCTGTGTAAAAAGGATGGCTTGCGTTGTTTAACCTGGTTTAGGGCTTGTTTGTAACCCCAGCCCAAACACACCACTTTAGAATTCTATTGTTTTCATCAATTGGTATAATTAGTACAGTTGATAAGTCAGTTATTTGTTAGAGAACTTTGCTTTTATTTTTTCAATCACCTACCAATAATCCAAGCCTATACAACCTGAAGGTTACAAGGACCATAAATATTTTTTTCTCGTTTTACAGCTATATTGTTAACTATTGAATAATGAAAATGTAAATGTTATGTTCTAGACCAGACTGAAGCAACATTTAAGAAACACCATCTAAACCTTACAGTGCAAAACAACATCTAGTCATATATTATGACTCATAATTATTTGGACAATGCCAAAAGTTTTGTAAATTTGCCTCTGTACACCACCCCAATGGATATGAAATCAAAAAAATCAAGCTATGACTGAGGTGCAGATTTTCAGTTGATTTTTTTTTTTTTTAAAGTACTGTATTAACCGTACAGCCATGACTGTATAAATCATTTTCAACACCTAAAAAAGAAAAGTAATTGGACAACTTGGAAGCAATTTAATGGAAAGGTGAAGACAGTTCCTTGTTATTGCATGACAAATTCATTAACTGTGCTGAAACTGCTTAGGCAACTGTTTACTGGAACATTCAACATGAGGTCTACTTGTCAATCTAAGCATGGGAAGCCATCCTTAACCTGAAAAACCACAATAAACCTATCTGAGAGACAGCAAAAACGTTAGGAGTCATCAAATTAACAATCTGGTGCTTTCTTAGAAAGGAGGGCTGATTTTGCCAGGTCAGCAGCAACAAAAGACCTGAAAGACCACTACAGTGGATGATCACAGAATTCATTCCTTGGTTCCAGCTTCAAAATATCTAACTCAAGAGCACTCTCAAAGAGTAAACGTCTACATTTAAGAGAGCTTACAACAATGTGCACACCACAAAATACATTCAAGAACAAGACGTCCACATTAACCTTTGACAGAAAGCAAGCGCCTACATAGTTCTTTGGACAGATGAGACCAAGATTAATGTGTGCCAGAATGATGTGAAGAAAAAAGTCTGGAGGAATGGAGAAATAGCTCATGTTCGGCAGCTTACGACATTATATGTTAAATATGGTGAAGATAATGTTATGGAATGGGGATCTATATCAAACAGTGGAACCCAGTCATTAGTGTTTAGTGATGACGTGACTGCTGAGAAAAGTATCAGGATAAATAACGATGCATACGGGGCTATAGTCTCTGCTCAGATTCAGCCAAATGTTGCAAAACTAATCAGACGGGGTTTCGCAGTGCAAATGACCATAGTGCTGTGGATTATGACCCAAAGCATACTGCAAAAGCAGTATGAATTTCTCAAGGAAAAGAAATGGGTTATTCTTCAATGATCAAGTCACCTGACCTCGACCCAAACAGAGCAACCTTTCTGTTATTAAATAATGAATGCAGGGAGATCCACGAACAGCTGAAGGCAGCTGCAGTTCCAGACTTCAGGCGGCCATTGGCAGGATAGGATCACATCCAAGTATTAGAAAACAGTCCTTATTTTTAAAACTGTCTTAGTTTGTCCAATTACTTTTACGCCTCTGAAGGGTGTGTGAAAAAATGGCTATAATTCTCAAAGAGTTAATACGATTTTTGTTTTGTTTTTTTGTTAAATTACAAAAAATGTGTCAGTCACTAAATACTTATGCCCCTAACTGCATAATATTATTCATGTTATAGAAATCTTAAACTATATTTCCAACAAGCTATCAAAAAATTGAAATACAGAAAACAAACATGCACAAAGTCTGTTCTTTTTACTGTAGTCCATGTTCTAGATACTGTTACATTGTGTACTTTGTATTCCTACTTTATGAGGCAGAGACAAGCCCCAGGCAACAGGCCTGTGAGGCTCTCACTCTGGGTGAGAGGGCACAGCGTCACTCGATACTGGCAGGAAAAAAGATCTACAAATAGAAGGCCCTAAAATAAACATACAGATGGGCACTGACACTGGGGTCTCTTTTCATTTCCTCTAGTTAGCATAACTTTTTAAAATACTGATTAGGTTTTTTTGACTAAGCTTTTGTATTTATTTAATAGAATACATTTTAAAATAAGCCATGGCTGATTGAACTTTTCCTAGATAAGAAGTACTAAGTTCAAAAGTGTTATTAATCCATCTTACGTCAACTACCTTCATTTCTACGGTAATGTCTAATTTTGTACATTTGCTACTATGATTTGCAACTTTTGTGGCATCCCAACCCAAAAATTTCTGGTTTTGTTTTTTTTCTTTTCTCCAAAAGAAATTCAACAACTGCTAGACAGAAATTTAAAGACATGTTGATGTAGAATAAATATTCTTAAAATCCCCATACGAAGATCTATGTATAACAGTAAAAGCAGCAGAAAAGAGGTTCCGTGAAGTTTCATTCATTGGCTACCCATAGTCCCTAGTTTCCGACTATTAAGGCAAACAATCCAGTGCACATAGATTGTCATCATAACGCATCACCATCACACCGCACAGGTTCATTCTACATCAGTGGGTTTTCTTTCTTTTTGGTGGGACTTTCCACCAACTTACTGCCTGTGCTGAGATAGGTTTACCTTGGTGCCTTTTTAAGAACCATCCCACATTTGGACATTTTTGAAGACTGAATGTTACTTAGTGTCACTGGCGAAAGCTTCCATTGCCGACACAATCTGTAGACTGCATCTGTGAATCATCAGTAAAGTTCTTATGGTAGTCCCTCCAGTAGCCAGTGGATTCAACTTTTGGGAACAGGAATTATGTAATGTCTTGCCAGTACTAGCTTTTTGGCACTAACACCTTTTTATTTTATTTTTTTCCCCACAGGGGAAATGTGTGGAACCGGTTCTACAGTAGGCACCAGTGCTGCTTCGTTGGAAAAAAGGTATTAGATATCGGTTTGACTTCTTCTTTCTTAAAGAGATAGCAAGAGATGACAGAAATCTTCTGTAATAAGACTGATGGGTGATCAGGAAACATCAATGCAAAATTATTATTTATTATTATTAATAGAATAATTATTATTACTTCTGATATTATGCTCTAGGTATTCTAATTGAGATTGAAATCTCATTTTCTGTGTAAAAACATAATGCTTGGATATCCAAGCATTATGTTTTTACATCCCTTCATAGAAGTTCTGTTATTCAAATACCCACGAGCAAGCCAAAGTTTGCCACATATCTGGGCGGTTCTAGCCCGGGAGGTTAGTGGTTTGATCCCCGGCTTCTCAACTTCACATATCAAAGTGTCCTTGGCCAAGATAGTAAAATCCCAAAAATGCATCCATTAGTAGTCTGTGAGTGTGTGTTAGGTAAAGAGCTCAAAGTGCATAGAATATAGTGCTGTATGAATGCGTGTGAATGACTCAATCTGGCTTAAAGTGTAACGAGTCTTTGAGGAGACAGTGGGACTAGGAAAGCACTGCATAAATACCAGATCACGAGCATGAGGTTTGCAAATGTAATGAGCTTAAAACATTGATTTGAAATGCAAAAAAAGGTGAACAAGGCCTTGTGTTTTACATGCCTCACCCAGCTATTCATTTCTGTGGAGGAAATTCCCTCTTTCTTTCAAGTACAACAACACAGTTCATTCACAGAGTGACAAAGTGATGAGTCTTCCTCCACAAACAGCATCTGGGAGAGCGCATTTAAAGACAAGCAAAGAGTCACTGTAGTTGTAAAAAAAACATTAAGTGTGTGATACAAAATCTAGTGATTCTCAGTGTTTTTTCAAGGAGTAGTTTTTTTCTGTTAATAAAATGTGTTTTGAGGGTCTAATTGTCTTGTCGAAATCAAAAAGCTTGAATCCAAGCCAGTATTCATCTGAAACATTAGGGACAGATTTATGGGATAAATACCTCTCCTCTGATCATACAGCCTAGTGCTCAATCTAGAATTGGCTCCACACATTTCTACAAAACAAAAAAACAGCTGCACCCAGAGTCTGAAGTAGAGATGCCAGTAGGTACAAGAGGGGCTGCTGCAAGAAATTTATCACCCATTTGCTTCCAAATAAGCATATTAATCCAGTTTCTGGTAGACAAACTATGTAACACAGCTGTCTAGAGACTTTATCCAACAGACACGTGGCGAAAAAAAAAATTCTACTAGTTTAATCTAAATAACACTCAACCCTGCATGCTGCGCTAATCATTGCCAGAGAGGGATGGAACACTGCTGTCAGCCTTCAACAAAGTTTACAAGAAATCTGTGAAATTTATACATTTCACAACTATATAGTAAACAGTGTCTGCACACAGACAGTTTTCATTTTCTTTTCATTTCTTCACTTCTTAATTCAGCAGTGGTTTGACTGTGTAAAACTAACTGCCGGTGGATGGAAGTAGAGCAACAGATCACTTTCCTTTGCATTTAAACAATTTTATCTTCATTTTCAACAAGACTTTTGTTGGCATTTTAACATAAAGATACTGACTGTAAGAAAAAAATACTCATTAGTGAAGCTTCATTCCAGCCAGTTATCCAAACATTGGCAGCTGACCAGTCAACATGCCTGGGCTACGAGTTCATTGGTAATGTTGAATCCTGGTGTGTGTATGTGTATGTGTGTATCAGTCACTCCTAAGGTAGTCTCTCACCTGGAATTGTTACTATGATGTACTGAGGTGAGCTGCTTTGACCATTACTCTCCTGGACTGGAGAAGGCTGAAGATTAGGGTTCACGTAGTGCTGTGTGGGAGTAGTCAGAACCACAGCCTTCTGGCTCTGGGCTTGGGTGGGCGGAGCCTGAGAACAAAGTGCATCCTGTCCAGTTTTAGAAGCAGCAGTTGACTGGTTAGCTGACGAAATGGTTCCAGAGGCTGGTGGGATCTCGGACAGGAAGTGTGCAGTCTTTGCGGATGAGGGTGTGGTGGAAGCAGGTGTTGCTATGGTTACTGTGTTGGCCTGCTGAGGCTGAAGGTCTTCGGAGTATCCAGAAGTTGCCATGGCAACCAATGCTTTGAGGCACTGGTTTTATGGATGAAGAAAAAATAACAGTCATTAATGAAGGTGCTATGAACATACACAGAAATACACTTTGTTGTCCTATTATCTCACCGTGCTTTGACCACTCAGAGTGAGTGAGCGCTTGTGTGTGTGTGCGTGTGTTTGTCCTTGTGTGCCTGTAACATAAACCTTATGAGGAAGTAGGGCTTTTGTCTGAGACTAAGCAGTAGTCTAAAGCCTTTCCTGTTTTGTCAAAACGGAAAGAACCAGTATAATCTTACAGCATAACAGATAACGCAATTAATCAAATTTTCAAAATGTTTCTGACTGACCATGGCCATGACATTTCATCTCAAATAAAACAATCAAAACCGCTGAGCAAAAAAGCAATTAAATTTACGGATTGTGGATAGTCCCGTGATTGCATAACCTGAAGAAAAAAATACTAGAGGCCATCCTACTGCGCGAGAAGCCAATCCTGCGTGAACCAACATGTCACACAACACAAGCATGAGGCACACCGACCTCACGACAGTCACTTTCACTGGATTCAATGTCAGCGCAAGAAACTTTTTCAAAGTCACTAAATGATTATGAAACATAGTGCAATCATCTTGTGTGCGTTTAAAACTCATTAAAAACCCAGTGGTGCGTGTGTAGTTTGGTGTGCGTTTCGGTATTCAATCTCTTTAGTCAGCTTTTGTTTGAAATGTGAGTTGAGAAAGTGATAGCTCCCCCCTCTCCAGCTAGGAGATCGCTCACGTTGAGTTATGACGTTAACGCAAGCTACCCAACTGCTAGCTAGTCACGTCGATAGCGAATAAATCTACGACCACGTTACAAATCTCGCCTCGTGAGTTTCTCGGTAATCGAAACTGTGACAAACAACCTGAACATTATGACAAAATAGCAGAAAAAAGTACGACAGGCGCCACAACACACCCGCCATCTTGTGCTCTTATCAAAGATCTGACATCGCCATAACAACGGTCTACGTTTGGAAGGAAGCTAGCAACCACTTTCATCACCTAAACGCTCGAGCGATTTTGCGCGAGTGTTCGCGACTGCACAAACACACGCACACACACAGTTCACCTAAAATTAAATGGAAATTCAGAGATAGTTTACTTTTCACCTGTTTGTTCCGGTTTTGTCCTTTTTAGGCGTTAAAGTTTTTTCCTCTTAGATTTAGGTTGTTGTTGTTGACTCCCGTTGCTTAGTTCTTGTCGCCAGGACTACCGTGACTATGGCGCCGAGCCTTCACCGGGGCAACTGTTGCTACCCTCTTGTCGTTACCCCTCCCTCTGCTAAATGTTGGTTGGCTCTGTAAGGAGGTGGTCGAAGCATCGGTTGGAAAACTCGACCGTTGATTGGCTGGTTACACCTGTCTATCACGTTCGCTAGATTCTAACGTCAAATGAACGCTTGTAATGTTACTTTTTTTGATTGCCCAAAATGTCACACAGATTGGAAATGATGGGATGTAAATTCATTCTTATTCACAGAAAGCGGTGGTTATCTCTGTCCCCGTGTGTCTCTCTTATAAATAATTAGTATTCGATGATGATAATGGGACGTTCACAACTGATTAGTCACTGTGGGGTCCACTGAAATGTCTCTTTAGTGTAGTGTGTGTGTGTGTGTGTGTGTGTGTGTGTGTCTGTGTGTGTGTGTGTCAGCAGTGAACAGCACCCTTCCTTGGGGTGCAAAGTGATCTTAGTCCCATGGTAGGCAGAGTTAATGGTGATACTGTGCTGGTGTCAGACAGCCCAATCAAAATGATGTGAGGGACAGAAAGGCCACTTAAAGGTCACAGGTGATGAGATTCCCAGTGGCACTGTTGACATCACCTCTGGTATCGTTCAGCATTTTAATCACAACTTTTCTTTTCCTCTGAGTGCATTGTTGCCCGTAAAGGTCTCCAGCCTTATCTCGAGGTATGACGAACACTGGAGGTGAGTTCAGGTCCTCCTCGCTGATGCTAGGCCCTATAAAAGGTGGAAAGAACATCCAAAAAGAAACACAAACCACAGAGACACTTAAACATACCTTCGAGATACCTTCAGTATTTGTTCAGCATCATGTGGAAGGCAGCGCTCTTGACCCTGGGCTTGTTGGTGGCTCTGGTAGACAGGGTGCGCCCCAATGACGGTCATCCCTCTTTTTATGGGGTGAAACTGTGTGGAAGAGAGTTCATACGAGCTGTCATCTTTACCTGTGGTGGTTCTCGCTGGAGGAGAAGCGCAGAAGACTCGGGTAAGACGGTGTGATTTTGTGTGCTGATTTTCTATAATGTGCTTTGTTTTCAAAGAATTAAACTGCAATATTGACAGATTTACTTTTTATTCTTTTTGTCAGCATTTATTGGAGAGAAGACCTATGATCCATGGAAGGCAAATCCCATCCCTCAACTTATGAGCGAGCAAGATCCTGCAGAATCCGAACCATGGAAAAATCCAGCCTCTGTAGCAGCAGGACTCAGCCGCTCAGCTCGCTCACCGATAACAGAAGAGGTCCTGGAGGCTCTACGGAGCGCAGACAGGAAAGGACGGGACGTAGTGGTTGGACTGTCCAATGCTTGCTGCAAGTGGGGCTGCAGCAAGAGTGAAATCAGCTCTCTCTGCTGAACTTAAATTTTTCTAAATATACACCCTGTTCTGTTCAAAATGAAGAACTTTACTCCCATACGCAATTTCTTAAATGTCCACTTTCGTTCAACTACCTGTCCATAATGTGAATGTCTTCTTGATATTTGTTTGCTCTGGTTGATGTGGTTGTTTAATAAAGCTTTGCTTAGTTGATTATGAAATGTTTTGCTTCGTTAAAAAGAAGAAAGTTATAATAAAGGTACTTCATGCTGTTAGAGCACTTCCCATTTTCCAAAGGACTGTTTCACAGTTTTGGTAAGTATTTCAAAATTAAGGAAGTGGTGATGACTACGAGTACATGGTTAAGTACATGGCCTGCGATTAACTGAATTATACCGAAGTCATTTTCCTACTTAAAATGTAGTTGCTTACTCTGATTCTGCAAGGGCTTACAATGTGACAGCCCTGCAGCATATTAGGCTTATGATGCTAGAGTTTTGTTTTGTTTTTTCTTTTGGGAAGGGGTGGGGGTGGGGGGGGGTTCTTTTTCGAACCTAGGACCCCTGTGGCAACAGTGCTAACCAGTGTTCCATCTTACTACCGTGTATTACTATAGATAAAGCTAAAATTAGTCATTTAATTAAGTAGTAATATGTGAAGCATGAAAGTGTACATACTGATTAATTAATATTTATCATCCAATAATATCACAGATATCATATGATAATGCAATAGTGGATACGTTATATATTTTAGACATGTTTTGAAAACTTTAGTACAATTACTTATGGAATTATAACTTTTACTTAAGTAAAATCGTCTAAATACTTGTCTAAGCACTTTACAAAGTACTTAATTTGAGTGTAGTGCCATTCTTCAAACAATACATATGTCTGAAGACACAGGAGCCCTTGAATGTATACACAGTGTTTTCAGTGCCAGTTTTAACACTGTATTTACCTTGCTCATATCTCCTCTGTGCCATACCGGTGACAAAAATCACGGAGACGCTCATGATTGTGATTGTTGCTGGGCCATCATCTCTGGTGACAGTGTTTTTCTGTCAACGCCCTGTCTCACTTCATACACATAGCTAACAGGCTAGAGGCGTTGAATATGGCTCCATCTAGTGGAGAAAAATGAAACCGCACAAACCGACGTAGGTATATTGTATAATCTGCTCCGTTCACGGAATAAAATGTTATCAGAATTTTATAATCATACATGCATTATTAATTAAGCGGTAAATGCTCATAAATGCTGAACACAGACTGAAATAACAGTAATACTTAAAGTTGTTTACGTCTCTTTCACCTCGCTCGAATACGGAAGCCGAACGTGATCATACAGATCACCCGGCTTGATTGCAAGGCATGCAATCTCTGTCACATACCAACTAGCATAGCAACCACGTAGATCTACTGCGATTAGAAGTTTGTATTTACCTACACAGACCGCGGATATATATATTATTTAATGTTAGTTGGTACATTGCATCTGCGCGGTTGTCTGTAGGAATATAGATCTACCACATCGGAGAAACCAGGTAAAACCTTTCGCGGTACTTTCAGGATGCTGTTAGCTAGCGGTGCTACTGATAGCTGCCGGGGGAAAGGGGGGGTTGGTGTGCGGCTGCCTTGTTATGCATATTAATTGAACCCCTTTAACGGCTTTTGTGGCTTGGATTAAAACATAACTGTGGCAGCCGGGTAGTTGATGTGAGAAAGCGTTTCGGCAATCAGTGAATCGTTTACCTGTTACTGCGACGCCAGGCTAGCTTGCTAGCTGATGGAGCGAGACATTTGCGCCTTTACCGTCTGGGCCTCACGTAGAAAAGGTTCTTAGGGTCACGGTTGATAGTTGTTGATGTTTGGCTACTTATTCGTGAAGCCTTAAATGACCACTGGTTGTTGGTGGTCCTCGCCAGAAATGTCAAATGTTCATAAACGCCACTGCTTCCGCAGCACTGTTTTGCTACGCTATACATATTTACACTGACTCCAGCATTTTGTCTCAAATTACGATTCAAAGAACCGGTTTTGAGGCTATTTTAGAATTTGATGCTTTTAATAAGTCAGCATAATTCATTTGTTCTGTAGTCATTACATGGCGTTTTGATTTGTAAGATTACAGGTGCTGCAGTGAGCCCCTAAACGGGTAACGTGTGTGTGTGTTCTGTTGTAGGATGGAGTGGCAGCCGGATGAACAAGGTCTGCAGCAAGTGCTTCAGTTACTCAAGGATTCCCAGTCCCCAGACACAGCAACACAGAGAGCTGTGCAAGAAGTATCCTTACATCTGGCTCTGTATGTGTGTGTGTTTGACAGTTAGGGTGAGAGGAGAAGGTGTGAAATGTTGCCTCCCCCATGAGAGCTGGTGTGTCAGTTTGGAGGACAATGAGAAGATACTGTTTGTTCAGCTTGCATCAAGTGTCTGTGAAATGAAGGTCTGTGAGGATGTGTGAATTCTTGCTCTGTATTTATAGTGATTCAACTCCTTAACAGACTCTGCAGAAACTGGAACAGCTTAACCAGTTTCCAGATTTCAACAACTATCTCATCTTTGTTCTCACAAGCCTAAAATCTGAAGGTGAGTTTGTGCACATCAAATTTATAATTAAAAAAACAAACAAAAAAACCGCGTACTAGATTGTTTCATCTTTGCTTACCTCTCTGTATCTCACCACCTCCTTTTGGGTTTTCATGTTGCCTCTCTGCTGTCTTCCTTCTCAAGATGAGCCCACTCGCTCTCTGAGCGGTCTGATTCTGAAGAACAATGTGAAAGCTCACTACCAGAACTTCCCTCCCAATGTGGCAGACTTCATCAAACGAGAATGCCTCAACAACATCGGAGACCCTTCACCGCTTATCAGAGCTACAATCGGTGGGTGTTTCAGTCAGAGAGGGAAGCTTGAGAAATAAAAGGTTTAGTTAGATGGAGTTTTTCAGCAGTGTGAGTCAGATTATTATGGAGGTGGGTGAATTTTTGCAGGTAATATGGTTGTGTGGGAGAAAGCGTTGTATTTTCAAGATCTTTAAATGACAGAGGGTGAGTTATCCGGCTGGGTTTTAAAGCCTAATGTACTAGTGTGTAACTTTTTAACTCTTTATTATAAAGGTATTCTGATCACGACCATCGCCTCCAAAGGAGAGCTGCAGACCTGGCCAGAGCTGCTGCCTCAGCTCTGTAACTTGCTCAACTCGGAGGACTATAACACCTGCGAGGTTAGGGTTACATACCTTAAACACATGCACAGCCTTGCAATGAAAATTTGGTACTATTTTGGTGATAAGGTTTGTGTCTGTTTCTTTTGTAATTTGTTTCTGATTTGTTTGTTTTTTGGCAGGGTTCTTTTGGAGCACTGCAAAAGATCTGTGAGGATTCATCAGAGTTGTTGGATAGCGATGCTTTGAACAGACCTCTTAACATCATGATCCCCAAATTCCTCCAGTTTTTCAAACATTGCAGCCCTAAGATCAGGTCAGTGAAATCCAAGTCTCAGTGTCTGAATCTTGCAGAATTAGCAGTTTTCCTTTCCTCCTCATCTAAAATCTCCTTGTTAAAATTATCTCTTGTTTTTTCTTTTTCTTTTTTGCCAAGGTCCCATGCTATAGCTTGTGTGAACCAGTTTATCATTGGCCGAGCTCAGGCTCTGATGGATAACATCGACACCTTTATTGAGGTGAGCAATTCAAAATTTTTTACTTTTACTTACGTTTTTACGAGGATCGCAAAATTTTGCTCCATGAAGGTATTTTTGTTGTTGTTGTTTGGGGTTTTTTGGGGGTTTTTTTTGCGAAAGCCTCTTTTTGACTTCAAACAGAAGCTGCATGAACACGGCACTTTTTCAGCTTACTGTGAAAACACCATTTGGCGCCGCACCACCATCTGCTCAGCTGTGATATACTCTGCCACATGTGTTGCAGACAGTGCTGACAGTTTTGTAAACAATGAAGTCTGAGCTGCTCTGCTGGACAAACTATGTGATGACATAATTTCTAAAATGTTCCAAGCCATTTTTTTTTGCCCTGTG